AAAAGTATACACTTTTTTATACCGTAAGCAGAACTGGCGAAGAAAAATTACTACACTCCGCACAGTGCGTCAAAGTGTGCAATTTTTTAGAGAAAAAACATGGTCATGATTTTGAGAAAGTTCCGGGAAATGGGAAGAGTGAATGCAAATTCCAATAAGAGCTTCTTAAAGCAGAGACTTTGCCCTATAAAATGAAAAAAAAACTTTTCAATTCGACCAGTTTTCGCGAAGTTACGCTTATTTGAAATTCGCCAAATTTTGATGTAAATTTCTTGTTGCGTTAATTTTTTTGACCAGTGTATTATCTCTAGTATTTTTATTGCCGTTACTTTTCTTACTCTAGTATAATCTCTAGTAAAATATTTTAATGTATTAATAACGGTTTTTATCATTTTGAAAGAAGTAAAACTTACTAAAAATTTCTTGATTTATTATACTGTATACTTATGATTAATTATACTGTAGTTTATATTTATTAGATGTTTCAATCAATTAAAAGTTTATTTTCCTCTCTAGTAATACACATTTTGTAAAATGTTATATGAAGTGTAATGTACAGTAGTAAATGTTACTTCTAGGAATTAATCATCTAAGAACAGATAGTTTATCTGATTCTTTTGCACCTGTAGAAGAGAGAGAGGAGAGAGAAGAGGATATACGGCAATTTGACAACTTTTGTATGTTCATGTCAACAATGCAAGGTTTTTTGTCAATACGTCATAAAGAAGAAGGTAAATAAGTTGGAGAGGTTTACATATGTAGATGTTTCCTACATAGATTCCTTATCCATTCAGATTGAATTGTTTGCTTGTAATTCTATTTTTTTGTAATTCTATATTTAGCTCTAACTACTGATCTAACTATTATATAACACAGCCCCACAAAAAGTTATCTAGGTTTAAGACCAGACAAGTATATTCTTGTGTATTTTGACCCGCTGAATCTGAATCCGAGATCAGAATTGAACAATTGCTAGCTTTATCGTCCTTAACCTCAAATAAACTCATACCCAAGGAAAATGAAAAGTCAAAATGACGTCAATTTGATGTCATATTGACCAGATTTGTGTCATATTTTGGTCAATATGACATCAAACTGACGTCATCTTGACTTTTCATTTTTCCTTGGGTAATTTAACGAAACGGGTATTTTGGCTAAACGTACCCACTCCTCGGTCTGCGGAACTAAAGTATTGTATAATAATATAAACATTTTTTTAGTATTTTGACCTGAATACGAATCCAAGGTCAGAGATGCTTTATCAGGTCTCAAATCCTCCCTAAACTTAAAAAAATATACATTAAAGTTCCTCAAAAAAACTGCTCCTTGAGCTGTTTTCTTGATTTATAAAGTTCTACTATAAAATTCTTGTTTAATCAAGAGTCCGCTAAAGAACGATTGAATTTTTCATTTTAAGTAGAGTATAAGATTTTTGGCAGAGGCTCACATGGACACATGCACTGTTCAAATGGACACGGTGCAATTGCACACGGTTCACTTGGACACAGACATTTAGGACACATAAAAGTTGTACTCTGTAAAGTTGAACACGGCGCAAATGGACACCGTTCTTTTGAAAAGTTACAGACCATAATGTTGGACATAAGTTGGACATACAGACCATAAGTGGACACTGTTAACTTGGACACGGTGCAGGCGGATATCGCTCATTTGCACACGGTAAAAGTTGCACACTGAAAAGTTGGACACGGGGCAAGTGGACACCGTTCATTTGCACACGGTAAAAAAGGAATATAATCTCTGCTTTAAAATACATATATTCTCTCATAAATAAATATATTCTCTGCTTTAAAATACACGATCCTGTAAAATTATCATTTTTTAAATCATGAACGGTATCCACTTGAGCCGTGTCCAACTTTTCGGCATGTAACTTTTACCATGTACAAATGAGCGGTGTCCACTTGCGCCGTGTCCAATTTTTACGTGTGCAAATAAACGGTGTCCACTTGCGCCGTGTCCAACATTTTGGATAGTCTGCAACTTTTCAAAAGTACGGTGTCCATTTGCACCGTGTTCAACTTTATGGTGTGCAACTTTTATGTCCAAAATTCCTGTGTTCTAATGAACCGTGCGTAATATTCCGCGTCTATTTGCAAAGTGTCCACTTGTACTGTGTCTAAGTGAAGGCCACTCCAGTTTTTTACCTCGCAAAACAGTCATTAGAGCTGCAAAAATAATTCAATTACTACCTATGCTTGTGATACCGGACTCTTTTATTCTCAAAAACTGTGCAATGGTTTTTTCTTACATTTCTTTCCCTTCGGTATACTTCCTTTTTTGCAACATATTATAACAAGTATTACATTTTTTTGGGGGAACTCAATTACTTTCTTGATTTGCAATTTCTAAGCCGAAACATCAACAACCATGTAACATTTCTTAATTTTTGCAGTTGTATTCCTTTGATCCTTTGGAATCTCATATTTGCTACAAATATAGCAAAAAGCATTTGCATCTTCGCTATACATATATGATGTTGATGCTTCCATATCTTGAGCTATATGAATATTTTTTCTTGTCTCATCAGATACAACTTAACTCTAGAATTCAAAGAAAAAGCCAATTTTCGGTAATTTTTTTTCAAGGAATGTAATAAATGTAAATGAAATCTGTTTATTCTTATTTATTCTCTATACATTGAAGTATAAAAAAAAATTTTTATGAATTTTTTCTCAACAAAATGGCAGCGCCAGAGCCTTGGATCCAAAATGCGGAAATTGACGAAAACGAAGCTACCTCACCTTTTGAGCTGGACCAAAAACCTCAATTTAAAAAAAAAATGTAACATTTTCTTTTGAACCATGTATGGATTTTGTGATAAGTTGAAAATTGTTTTTATAGACTTTTTCGTGCAAATTTTTTTTGTAGCGAAAAGTGCAACTTTCTTTTCCAACGCGCACCATTTTTATAAAAAACGGTATTTCGCAAAATCCGTACGTGGTTCTAAAGAAAATGTTATGTATTTTTCAAAAATCGTTGGTTTTTTGTTCTACCTCAAAGGGCGAGAAAGCTTTGTTTCCTCCCGTGAGGCAACTTCCGCAAAGAGCCACTTTGGTTCCATAGCTCTGGCGTCACCATTTTGTTAAAGAAATAGTCAAAAAAATTTTTATACTTTAATGCATAGAGAATAAATAGGAATAAATAGATTTTCATTTACGTTTATTATATTCCTGAAAAAAATTACCGAAATTGGCTTTTTTGGGGACTCTAGAGTGTTGTAACTCCTTAACCAAGTTACCCATTAATATTGAGCTACGGTCGAATGTTGACGACGACTGCCAACCCACTTTTCCACCCTGACCAGTTGCTGGTACTGGGGTTCCGAATCCCTGCACCGTAAAAGTATTTGACCTGTATTTGCCATGATGGCTTGAACGCCGTTTTCCAAAGTCTCAGCCAGAATAAATCTGTTGCCCACCGTCACCACATGGAGGTGCTCTGGAAGTAGGTACAGGTAAAATACTTCTCAAAAATTAAGAAACGTTACAAAGGATGTTTTGGCTTACAAATTGCAAATCAAGAAAGTGATTGGGTTCTCAAAAAAATATGTAATACTTGTTATAAAATGTTGCAAAAAAGAGAAGTATCACTGAGGGGAAAGAAACGTAAGAGAAAACCATTGCACAGAGTCTCTGAGAGTAAAAGAGTCTAGTATCACAAGCAGAGGTAGTAACTGAATTGTTTTTGCAGCTCTAATAGATTGTTTTGCTAATGAAAAAAAATTATATCCTACTTAAAATAAAAAATTAAATCGTTTTTTAGCAGACTCTTGATTAATCAAGAAACTTCATAAATCAAAAAGCAGTTTTTTGGGAAACTTTAATGCATTTTTTAGTTTAGGGAGGATTTGAGACCTGATAGAGCATTTCTGACCACGGATTTGTATTCAGCGGGTCAAAATACTAAAAAAAACATGTTCATATTATTTTAGTTCCGCAGACCGAGGGGTGGGTATGTCTAGCGAAAGTGCCTGTATCGTGATATTATGAGTTTTTTTTAGGTTTGGGACGATAAAGCTAATTCTGACCTCTGATTCAGATTCAGCGGGTTAAAATACATAAGAATACACTTGTCTGGTCTTAGGATCAGACAACTTTTTTTGTGGGGTTGTGTAATTAATAATTAGATTAAATCTTGATAAATAAAATATATAAACGTCTAATTATATAATGTTGAATTATACAAATTATAATATTATATAAAATATTATTTTAAAGAAATTGCAATATTTTTTTTATTTATGATAAATATAAGAATTTGAATTATAGCCTAATGTTATCTTATGTCATTTATTTAGGATCATGGTTTATACAAGAAGTTTGTAAAATCTTCAAAACTTATGGAAACGAGTTAACTTTTTTTGATTGTGTCAGAAAAATAATGAAATCAGTACGAGAGAAAGAAGGAACCATTGATGGCAATCAGATTGCCCAATCATCAGAGATAAGAGTGGATCGATTGCTATCAGATTTTCAATTAAAACAAAGTACTCTTGCAGTTTGACTAAACATTAAATACATTCTGTCAAATAAATACTGGGAATTGTTCATTTAAAAAGCCTGCGTAAAAATATGAACAAGAATCATTTGCTGTAAGTTGGTACCAATGTACCTAATTGTCACGTAAAGTTTTGGCGCCATCTGTCAATCAGTTTGTTTATAGCTGTTAGTTTTGTTAGTTGACCTCAAGTACGCTTTGCGATTTTTAAAATGGATAAAAATATCGAACAAAGAGTTTAACATCAAACAGGTAATAAACAATATTATCCTTGTACGCAAATTTTTGACCAGAAGCTTAACGAATGTCATTGACCAAGCACCGTATTTGCCAGATATGGCCCCGTATGACTTTTTCTTGTTCCCAAACTCAAATTACCACTTCGTGGAAGATATTTTGAGTCCATTGAAGCCATAAAACAAAATTTGCCGAAGGAGCTAAAGGCCATACCGAAAAGTATGAATATACATATAAGATAGTGAAGTGTTGTATAAGAAGTGTTTTGATGACTGGATTATTTGTTCGCATAAGTGTATTGCTTCAAATAGGGCCTATTTTGAAGGCAACAACATAAATTTGGATGATTAAACCAATATTTTGTGTTTTGTTGAATAATTCTTGGTATTTATTTAACAGAGTGTATACCTTATAAATAAATACATTCAAGGAAACAATGCATATGTTAATTTTAATAAAAAATTTATTTTTTAATGTTAAGATAAATTTTATAATAAATTTAACAGTACAATATAAATTTTCAAATTAGAATAAATCAAATAAAATTTTGTTTAGAAATTTTTTTCAATGTATTACAAAGATATAGAATATATTGTATTCATATTATTAGTTTACATTTATAATAAACTAAATGTGGCGATCGTGGCGCAGATGATTGTGCGCTGGTCTGGTAATCCGAAGACCCGGGTTCAAAACCGAACAAAACATTGTTGGTTTTCGTTCGATCGCCACATAGCGAAGTGGAAATAGAGAGAGGTGTTATAAGAGTTATAAGAGTTTGGGTACGTTCCTTAAAAAAAAACGCCTTGTAACCCCGAGGGGAATCAATATAATGTATTTAAGTATTTTTAAATAATAAACTAAATAGGAAACAAAACTGATTACCGTACCAATGATTTTGACCTTCATCTTGACTTTGATTTTGATCTTGATCTTGAGATATATTACAAAACAGAATTTTAATTTTTCTGTATTTTGAATTATGTGAGGATTACTTTCAGGTTTCTGAGAAACGTCTTTTAATTTAAAATTCATTTTTTTAATTTTTAAAAATTAATTTGATTAATTAGAAATTAAAGAGGCCGTTTAGGACCGGGCATAGGTGTAAGTAGCCAGTTAAATAAAATTAATTAGTGAATTCATATACCGTATTCTTTTCAACTTATCCTGTGCGCCAGTTACATACCAGCCTTATAACACAGGTCAATCCCCGTAAGTGGAAGTGTTATCGTCAGTGAATTCACGTTTATAAATTATTTTAATAATGCTATACATTAGCATCTAATATGACAACCCCCTTCCCCCTTCCCCCCTTATTTAAAATTCTTATTGCGAAAAAGATTACCCCAGCCAGGATTCGAACCTGGAACCTCCCTCAATCCGTGCGGGCGTCTTAGCCAGCTCGACCACTGGGGCTGTAGGTAATATTGTTCGCAATAACATATTTAATTTAATTTAACTGGCTACTTACACCTATGCCCGGTCCTAAACGGCCTCTTTAATTTCTAATTGATTTTATATCTTAAAGGACCTAAGTTAAAATTGTAATAATTTAATTAAGATTATAATTTTGTTTGAAATATGAATTGTATATTATTTGTATATTGATCAGTATGCGTATCAAGTTGATGCAAATTAATATCTAGTTTATACCAATTTGTTTTAAACCAAGTCAGGTTAAGGTGCTAATTTTTAGTCCAGATTAAAGAAACTTCCGTAAACTGAATGTTGGTGGTGCTCTGAATGCATCCAATCTTTTAATCATGATATATGAACTAAGTATAATCCAAGCATTTACAATGGGCTAGAATCTTCTGATACATGTACGTCAATACACTGCCTGTCAATAATTTGTTCCATTCTTCTAGCAAATTTAATATGTTTTGAAACAAAAATCGTTGTTACTTAAATTCTAATTACTAAGATTAGAGATTTTACCTCAATAGTTAGTGTATACAAGTATATTTCTAAATTGCATATCTTCATTTACTATGAATCTAAAAGAGAAGTGAAGCATACCACGCTTCGGGAAAACTAATCGGTATCGTGAAAAAGAGGCCTCAACTGTTCGATATTAACGAAAATTGAACTGTTAACATCTCTTGTTTAGAAAGGGATTTGTATTATTATGTGTGTATACAGGGTGTGTCCTAATACTCGTATGTCCCGTAGATGGTAGATAGACCGGGGCAAACTGAATAGAAAAGTCCTATACCATTTTGCAAAATTCGCAATAGTTATCGAGAAATTAATTTTAATGTCTGAGCGAATGAGAGCGTAGAAGGCGGCAGGCCGGATTCGGCAGGCAACGGTGGGGCATCATCTAATAGCGAGAGGTGGAGCGGCGCGCCGAAAAAAGTTGTCACGCAGCGAGCGGCGAG